TAAATTTTTTTAAGACATTGCATTTAAGCAAGTAAATCAGGTGTTTTCTTAAATCTGTTGAACAATTTTCCTAGTAAACACTTATTTTCCTGTGCTGACAAGAAAGTAGACAATCTTAAACAGTTACCAGGGAATAAAGTCTTCTTGAGTAAAAGCCACAAACAACCTGGATTTACCTCCACTCTGAGAGACCTTCAAAAGTTTTACCTAACTTGAAGAGCACGATTGAGACTGACGTCTTTTAGATCACTGCATTCTGAAAAATTTTTTAAGCTACAACTTCCCAGTTCAGATAAATGTGGTGAGTACATTCATGACTACTGTGAAAAAACACAGTAATACTAAAATCCTCCTCAAGCTCCCAATACATGTTCAGAATTAACTCTTTGTTCACATTAATTCAGTGAAACTACTCATTTTTTATTACTGTTTCAACTATTCAAGTAATTTTAAGCCCATGATCCTGAAATCATATTCCAAGTGAACCAAAGTTGCTCTGCAACCATTAACAGGCAACCAGCTCAGCCCGTCACTGAATGAAGCATGAACAAGGAAGGTTAACCTGTCAGATATTTTCCTTTCCATAATAATTCCTGAGAATGCAGACTTCCTGTGCAGTACCAGACAAGTCTGTGGGGCAATGTAGACAGGGTGTTCAGACATTTGCTATTTTTGATGTGGGGTTATTTTTTTTTAATTACTTTCCTTTCAGGATGATGCAAATTGCCTCACTAACATCTGTGAATCTCAGCAAAGTTAATTAGTAGATCATTGACTATACACCTAACTCTTAAATAGAGACAGGACAAACACATCTTTCAAGATTTAAGAATACCAAATTCTGAAACCACTTTTTTAACCAGATTTTCTTTATATCACATCGATAAGGAATTACAAACATGTTCGCAAAGAAAGTGCTACAGAGTGGATCCATTAGTATTTACTTAGAAAACCTACAGCAGATACAAATGACTAATGCATATTTCAGGCATGCCAAACACGATACACTGAATAGCAATGTGTGTTCTTGAGGTCCTTGAGGAGCAAAGCTGACTTCTTGAAAAATAAGAATCTTCCTTTAGAGTTCCATCTGCTAAAATGTTCCATCACCTCAAAAATATAAATGGCAACTCTTTCTAAATCGTTAAGATTCTAAGAAAACAGAATTATCTTCTAAGTCATCCCTATCTGCTTTATTCACTTTTTACCTCAATTCACAGTCACCCTGAGAAGCAGGACTGTGACTAAAGGCAAGTAATGAGCAGCTGGCAAACCTGTAAGCAAAACAAAGTATTTTTCACATAAATATTTTTATAATAAAAAGTGTGAATATAGACATTTCATGTGGACTTACATTTGTTACATATGTCCTTATGTTTTTTCATGTAGTATCAATGTTCAGCAAAGACTTATCTATACAGAAGAGTAATAGCTTAACTAAAGCTACCCTAACACTTCAGGTGAACAAAGCTGGTGAAAGTGTGTGTACACGCATGCTCATGCTCTCTGCACACTTGGCTCATGTTATTTTAGACCTCAGCGTTCTGTCTATAGACAAACAGGAACAAACTGCGTATACCCCAAGCCTAAATGGCTTAAAGAATCCCACCAGCCATCACAATGCAGATTTGCTTTCGTGCGTTGTTAGCAGACTGTTGTTGCCTTAAGAATTTAACAGAAAATACTGTACGATGCCTGGTGCGCGCAAGGTCTGCAAAAGGGAAAAAAAAACCCTAGCACTTGTGTCCATGCAATTATTAACGCCCTCTGAATCTTCCATAATGCTGACAGTAGGGTCAGCAAAAAAAAAGTACAGCAACAGCAGCAGCAGGATGTTTGTTCAACCCTGTTATGTTCAGCCCAGAAGAGCTGGGCTGGGAAGGCAGGAGGACCGCCTCCCCTCTTGCCCCACGCCCCTGCAGCCAGCCACAGCGAGCCGGTGCTGCGACCCACAGGCAGCTGTGGTGCACAAAGATAGTTCACTCAAGCGGTAAGGAAGTCCAAAAATTAACTTCTTACTTTTAAAACTGAGTATTGTACAAGCCTTTAGATATTCTGAGAAACACTAATACCATACATGCTCTTAAACCACTGCCTCAAGTCCATGCTGAGAGCCCATAACTAAATATAGTTGCTCATCTTTTTTACTTATTCAGTTTGTATCAACCGCTATAATGGCTCATGTGATACGAAAATAGCAGTGAGAAATTTTCCTAATGCTTTCTGTCTCAAACCAAGCTTGATTTAATGTCATGAACTTTGAAATATTGATTGTTTGAGTCATGCCAAAATAAACCCTCTGCTACCTTAGTTCTGTTTTATCTAATAATGAGCTAACTCAAGGTAGGATGCTGGCTTCTAGCCTAATCTGGTTTAGAATCTCAGTGCTTCTCTTTTAAGATAACTTTCTATGAAAACAAGCTCTTCTTTGGAGACTTTTCTATAAAGTATTGTAACAGGGTGTGACAAATTGCCCTGTGATGTCAAATGGCATTAAGCCCCACAGAACCTAGTACTCCAGGACTTCCAATCTTTATGCTGAAACAAATTTCTGTTTCAGTAATTCAGTCCAGGCAGTTGGGTTTGTTTGGGTTTTTTGGGGGATTGTTTTGCTTTTTTTGATTTTAAATTTGGAATTCTGGTTTTGTATTGAGCACTTCCAGAGAAAGCATTACCTTTTTTTTCAACTTGGAACTACTGTAAGAATCAGACTGAAGCACATATAAGTACAAGGTGGATGTGCACTTGTCACCTATAAAAGCAATACTTCTTCTTTAGCAATATACTCGTGCAACTTTCTCTTACAGGACTATTTTTTTAAATTACATGTTTATAGTCTTTCTCATATTGTGTCCTATGAGGAGAGACTGAACAAGTTAGAGTTTTTCACCCTGAAGGAGACTCAGGGGGCACCTCATCAGAGTCTTACAGGACTTAAATGATGGCTAGAAAGAGGAGAGAGGCTCTCACTTCACAAGGAGCCACAAGGAGACAAGGGGAAATGGGTACAAGTTGCACGAGGAGAGGTCTCATCTCAGTGGAAGAAAGAAATTTTTCACAGTCAATAAATCAATCATGGGAACAACCTCCCCAGCAATGTGGCAGGGTCCCCATCGCTGGAGGTTTTTTAAGATGTGACTGGCGAGGATGCTAGATAATGTCATCTAGGCTCCCTTCCGATGAAAGGTTGGGACAGATGATGTTTTGAGGCCCCTTCCAACCTGAGCTGTTCTACGATTCTGTGAAAATAAAAAATTATTTTCCTAAGTTACTGCAGAAACAGTGAACAAGGACCGAGCAGAGAAAATAACCAGGAAGTACCTAGAAAGGAACCCAAGAATGGCAGAATCTAGAAAGCTACTGTGTTGCATCTTTGTTATCAGCTCCATTTAACCTTACCCTATTCACTGTGGCAAATGCAGGTCGTGCTCGGGTCTCTTGCCTTACACTAGAAGAAATGGCAATTCTTTAAAAGCATCTGCTAGGTGGTGTCGTCTTCACTCCCAGTGTGGCAAAAGCTGTAAGCAGACACACAGAAGAAGCTGGCAGATCTGGCAACTGTTCAAGGCCCCACATGAGTCCTGATATCTAGGAGATGTTGCCTCCCAAAGAGGCAAAAAAAGTGTTATTAATGACTGCCACTCTTGCCAATACCTTCCCTACCTGAATCTTGGTGGGAAACAGAACCTCCCATCGCTACCTATCCTCACATCTGAGGACTCTTAGCTCTTTACCTGTAACTGCACGCCATTCAAAACTTGCCAATACACCACTTTACCCTTTCTCTTAGTGTGAAATGTAGTTACATTTTATGTCCTTCCCAAATACAATCTACAGTTAGTAGAATACATTTTTCCATAACCACATGACCTCCTAGGGCAACATGCTCTGTTTTTTCTGATGGAAAAAAAACAATAAAAAGCCTATAATTGCTAATGTAGATCTATTTTGGGTAACACAATGAATATCTCTGACACTATCACACTTTCCAAACACTGGAGTTCATCCTTCACTTTCCTTGATGAGATGCCAAGCACATTGGGAAGCTTCTTCCTATACTAATTCATGCAAAGCATGGAGAGAATAGACTGTCAAGGAAATTAATTTAAGAAAAATACTAAACTGGAAGTAGTTAGAACAAGAAAGCTGTATTACCTCAAAGATAAAAGTTATATTCTAAAGACTCAGAATACAAGAAATAAATGTAAATAAATAGTGAAGTCTGGCTCTTATTAAGGGAGACGGCTGCTACTGCTAGCAAACTCTTGGATAGCATTAAAAAAGGATTCTAATGTTCAAATAGAAAAGAACTAGAAAAGAGACAGCAACCCACTGGAGGAAGAGTCACATTTGAGACAATATTAAAAATATTGAATGAAGGACTCTATTTTACAGAGGAAAATATCTGGGAGGGAAAAAAGTGTGAAAAATTAAACGACCAGATTTTTTTACATCAACGCTGGCCTCACAATACATAAAAAAAGCTTTATACAAGAAGATAACATAAGACCAAATTGAATGGTTCAAGGATTAACAAGTATACTTAAATTTTTGTAGGGA